GGGGGGGGGGGGGGGGAGGAGTATATACAGCGAAGGAAGGAATTATACGCGGCGGGTACCGCCGTGGGCTTTTGGCACGGAGACGGGTGTCTGTGGTGGGAAATATCCTTGGGGTTGTTCCGGCGTGAAGCTGGCGGATTGCGCGGTCGTTGGCACAGATCGATCCGACGCGTACCCTGGTCGCTGGTCTGGGTGCTGCCTTCATCGGGCCTCAATCGTCGAAGGAGAGTTCTAGTACTGGAGCGGTGGAAACAACTGCCGATCCCGGTCGATTTAGTCTCATCAGTAGAGAGGGCCGCTGATACAGGTCGGCTTATTCTCGTACCAGAATCGTGGAGGGGACCGTCGATCTAGCCTCGTCGATGGAGAGGTCCGCCGATATCGATCAGTCTACTCTCTTCGGTGGACCTGGCTACCGATCCCGGTTGCCCGCCCGGTGTCCTCCGTGTAGAATGATCTCTTTCGAGAGCTCATCGAAGAACGAGTGACTGCTCGGTGCGCTGGACGTCATATTTATAGTCGCCGTGCATACGCCACTTAGTGGCGCTCCAACGAGGCACTACGCCTGATAGTCGACGAGTGGCGTGCGTCATCGCGAGCTTTCTGGCCGATAGTGTTGACCACAGAACGAAGGATTGAAGGCGCCGCATTACAAGATTTTCAACACTAGCAGTGAATATTAGAACACAGCTAACGTTGAGACAACATTAAAGAAGTCATTAAATTGTTAATGCCGTTTCTATCATCAAATTATTTAAACCATGATTTAAATCTGATCAACGATTAACCCAACGGAATTAAACAATCGCATGGCCAATTAGTTGAAATGATCAATGCGTTTGAGCAATTCCGTTGAGTTAATCGTCGATTAGATTTAAACCACGACGGTAGAAATGGCATAAAAAAAGATTTAATAAATTAATTAATCGATTAATTAGTTAATATAAATTTCAAATATTTTCTAAAAATACTTATATATAGAATGTCCCAGAATATACCAAGCAAAGTAACTTTTTATTTATCAAAATTCCGTTCAAATGATAGTTCTTAAATGGGAGCTATTCAAGGTTGTCATATTAGCGTATTAGATTGCACATAAAGCAGTAACAACGTGCGACTTTCAGAACGTGAAATATTATGTAAGTCGTGTAGGTTGTTATTCTTCTATCTCGCAAAAGATTTTATTACACTGCTAACAAAGGGAGAATCAGATCTTGTCATCACAGGTTTCATTCAAATTAGAACGTGTTGTAGTATCAAGCCTTTATTAATTGATAGGTACGTGAGATGACGCATCTCTCAAACATTCGCAAATCAAAAATTTACTAGCAGAGTTTACACGCGCCTCAAATACTATTTGCGAAAACACGCTAACCAGATAGTGAGCGTAGCAGCTAAGACGCAAAATGGGACTAAAGCCCCGTTAGAGCGGCCAAAACTTCTTTCTCATCATATTGGGAGTACAAATTAGTTCGGTCCGTTTTCAAAAGATGGCTCTGGTTGTTATGAATGTTTCATAATGACAGCTGATTTCGATGGTTTCAAAGAGGTTAGACATCTGTCAATAATATTTAGTTTATATCGCTTTGAGGTTTCATACAAAACCTCTGTTTTTTACTGTGTTGAATATGTCAAATTTTGTGTTAATTAAGCAGCATTTGCGGGAGGTTTTAGTTTTCTGCTTTAATTGGAAGGAAAGAGCAGCTGAAGTGCATAGAATGCTTGTAGAAGTTTATGATGACAGTGCTCTAACTGATAAATCATGTAGGGAATGGTTTCGACGTTTCAAGAATGGTGATTTCAGCGTTGAAGACCTCGCTCTGGATAGCCAAAAATCTGTATCTGGTGGGACCAAAAGGGTGTTGTATACTATGAGCTGCTACAACCTGGCGATTCCATTACGGGCCATCGGTATACACTACAATTGATTCATTTGATGCATTAAAAACGGCTGGAATACGAGCAAAGACATGACAAAGTTATTCTTCTGCATGATAACGCTCGGCCTCATGTCGTAAGAGATTTCGCAAGATTTCAATTAACTCGTAATTTCAAAAGTCTCATCATTTGCAACAATCTCATAACCTGTAAAAGTTTTTTAATGTACAAGGTGTGTTCATAAAATAAAGGGAATTTTTAAATTTCGCGGGTTTGGAAAGTCCGATCGTCAAAATTTTGTTTATTATGTTGATATACATGCCCCTGAAGTATGATAAAATTTTCAGCTGTATTCATTGTTTACTTTGTCTGTGGCAGCCGCTAAGGTTAGACGTGTTTTTATGAGCTCGGCGATTTTCGTTTGTTAAAAGAACTTTGTTAAAAGAAAAAAATGAAATAAAGTGTAACAAAGTGTGTGAAATGTTAACAAAGGCCTATGGTGAGTCTGCTATGAGTAAAGCAAGAGTTTACGAGTGGTATAAGCGTTTCCAAGATGGCCGTGAAAACGTTGAAGATGACGAGCGCCCCGGACGCCCCAGCACATTAACAACCGATGAAAACGTGGAAAAAGTGAAAGAAATGGTTATGAACGATTGCCGAATCACAATCAGAGAAGTCGCTGATGATGTTGGCATATCGATTGGCTCATGCCATGAAATTTTTTCGAATGTTTTGGGTATGAAACGCGTGGCAGCAAAATTTGTTCCAAAACTTCATTGCTTGTTCGTGAATTTTTGGTCAAAAACAATACTGTAACGATGTCCCAGCCTCCATATTCGCCAGACATGGCTCCGTGTGACTTTTTCCTATTTCCAAAAATAAAGAGAACCTTAAAGGGCCGTTGTTTTACAAGCATAGATGACATTAAAAGCGCATCGCAGAAAGAGCTAAAGGCTATCCCAAAGATCGAGTTGGAGAAGTGTTTCGAGGATTGGAAGAAGCGCTGGCACAAGTGCATAATATCTAATGGAGAGTATTTTGAAGGCGACAACATTAATGTAGACAAATAAATAAATATTTTTTGCAAAAAACGAAAATTCCAGTTATTTTCTGAACACACCTCGTACAAGTGCATGAAAAAGGTTGAATTATGTTGCAGTTGAAATTTTTTTATTTTTTCGAATACTTACTTAGAATCAACATTTTCAATCAATTTCGCATTTTTTCAACAGTTTTAAACTATAAAAATGTACAATAAAAATTTTTCCGAAAAGCTGGCAAAATATTTTACGTTAAATGTAATATAACGTAAAATATTATTTCTATATTACCTTATCTTTATATAATCTTTATATTTATGTTTCTGAAGATGCGCGGTCATCCTTTTTAATGTAAGAAAAGAAAAAAAATAACAGAACCACGGTAGCGTAAGCCGGAAATCAAATACAGGACCTTTCGGGTGACTGCTCTACCACTGAGTTCTTTATTGAGGTATTACAGTGGTTCGACACACTTAGAGCAAAGATATAATTATATTGAGACACAACGGAGTCTGGATACAGAAGAATATCGTAAATACAAGGATTCTTAGTCTATGTGACGAAACGCTGCCGCGAGTCGAGAGCTCAGACTAACCTAAACTATGAGAAGCGCTACAATCGCTAGCGCTGCTCTATCTAACGCTGTTTTTCGAGAAACAGTGAGCACATGAAAATAAGGGAGTGCGCGCAAGGTTTGAAAGCCATAAAAAATCAACACTCTCCCTGCTTGAGAACCTCGCGTAAACAAAAGATTATAAGACTTAATCGATTATTTCTTCTGAAGAAAAGTTTTGCGATTTATCATTCCAAAACTGAAACGGAGATATGAAAATCGTGTTTTCGGAAACGATTTTGTGAAAATGTCGGCTCTTAGTTCGCTTGTTGATACGTATTTCAAAATCATATCACCATTTTCAATTCTCTCTCTAATAAAATGATACTTTATGTCGATGTGTTTCGTGCGTTTGTGGAATTCTGGATTTTTTGAAAAACGAATCGCGCTCTGATTGTCTACAAATAAAACCGTTGGTACTTGTTGATTTCGCGACAAATTTTACAGAATTCTTCGGAGCCAGACAACTTCTTTTGCGGCCGCTGCCGCTGCGACATATTCAGCTTCCGTACTGCTTAATGTCACAATTCTTTGTCGCTGACAAGCCCATGTTACAATTCCACTGCATAGAAAGAAAGCGAAACCGGAAGTCGATCGTCGCGTATCGATGTCACCTGCAAAATTAGAATAGGAGTAGCCTGTCAAAATGAAATTATCATCGCTCGCTTTGTACATAATACCGAAATCGTGTGAACCAGCTAAATATTTGATAATTCGTTTCACTGCATTCCAATAGCTCTCATCGTAATTGCTTAAGAACTTGCTTACAATGTTCACCTCAAACGCAATATCCGAACGTGAAGCTACTGCTAAAAACATTAAAGAGCCAACGGCTTTGCGATACGGAATAGTTTTCTTTATTTCTTCGACGCTATCTCTCGCTTGAATTAGAATTTGATGCGAATCCGCAGGCACACATACTGGATTTGCATCCCTCAAGCCGAATTTTTCGATAATTTTGGTTGCGTATGATTCTTGATGAATAAACATTCGACCCTGTTTTCGATCGCGTTCTATCTGTAAACCAACAAAACAACAAGAATCTCCTAATTTTACCATGAATGATTCACTCAGTGCATCTCTTACAATCTCTATTGCTTCGTTTGATTTTGAAGCAATGAGTCCGTCGTCAACAAAAAGTGCTAGCAAAACCTCTTTCTCATTTATTAAACCGCGCAAAATGCATTGCTCGAATCCGATAATTTTGAGAGCACTAATGAACTTCTCGTTCCAGCATCGTACGGCTTGTTTCAATCCATACCATGATTTCAGCAACCGGCATACTTTTAACTCGTTGATTCCATCTTCGCTTAAACCTTCCGGTACTTCCATGAAAATCTTCTCATGTAGATC